GGGGACATTAAAGTGGATCATATTTTAGGATGTGTATCAATCGATGTAACTGGAGACATGTACTGAAGCATAATAGATCGTTTCCAAACAACAAACACCAGCTTTATTATTAATATTTTTTTCATCACTGCAAATCCATAGATAGGAAGAGAGTAAAAAAGTTTACGTTTTAAATGGGAGATACACATCCATTCGGGGAATAGGATGCAGGTCAAAAATATATATATATATATATATATATATGAAAAAGAGAGAGAGAGTTAAGAGAGATGTTAATGTTGAGAATCTTGAGTTATAGGATTCTTTTGTTGGAATGATTCTTGCATAGAATTATAAGGGCAAATTTATATGGTGGCTTTGACGGATTGAATCCCTAATGCTTTAAGAATGCAAAATTCAGTTTTTGAAAAATGGGTGCTAGGTTTTTCTTTTCTTTTCTTTTCTTTTAAGCAGATAAAGCCACTTGACACGCGGCGTCAAGTTATATGAATTCAAAGTCTGCCGACACCGACAAGAAAAAGAAAATACAAATTGCATCATATTTTTTACCAAAAAAAAAAAAAAGTTCCCTTTAACAAAAAAAAGAATCTAGAAAGACTAGCGACTGGGGCCATTATTTCCACAATAAACTATTATCCTGCAAAGGGCAGATGCATTGGTCTTCCATCATATGCATTGGTCGCCCATCATATGCATTGCAAAATGCATGGTAGCCAACAGTTCTAGAGATGTGGATCCATTTGAAAGATGTAATGAAAAAGGAAAAAAATTACAATTACCTCTTTTGGATACCAAGAACTTATAGAAGTCACGCATTATATATATATATTAAATACCCTTTTTAAATATGATGATTTCAAAATGGTAAAGAAATTTTAAGCACAAAATGTAATTTCTATAATATTATCTTAAAGATTTTTCATCAAATTTTAGATGATTTATGTAATTTAAGCATTCTTAATAAGGGTATTTGTAATAAACCCTGTGAAAAATTCAGAGTTTATATTATAAATTAATGCATTGATGAATACATACATCCCCTTTGATCCGTCATTATACTAGTGGATCCCTCTTTGGCCGAGCCTTTGGTATCATCGTAGCCTAGAGTTTTTTAAGTTATCATTTCTTGGGAGCGATGTGTTGATGAGGGGGGAAAAATACAATCACATGATTTAAATTTTAAAGACAAACAAAATAATAATAAGATAATTAAATGTAAATGACAACACATTGGTTCCTTCGTCAACTTGGATCTATTTTTATTTTTTTTTCAAAAGCAAATCAAATATTTTCTCCGTTTCAAAGTAAAATTATATTTTTGACTTTTTATATAAGTAGAGAAAATTATTAATGTAATTGCTATATAGCATCTTTTTGTACTTTTTTAAATTGTATTTAGATAATTTTTTACAAAAAATATTTTTAATTAATAACATTTTAAGAAAATAAATTTTTTAAATTTTAAGCTAGATAAATATTTTAAAATATATATAAATATAAGATAAACAATATTTTCCAACCGAGGAAGGAATCTAATTTACGAATAGCGTCGATGCCATTAGCTCCGCGAAACATTCTGAATATATATGTATATAGTTTCTTGAAACTGTCCAACACACGACTCCCTATGAAACCTTGTACGATAATATTGAGCGGAAACTTCAAAACACCGTTGAAAACCGATGAGAGATTTTTTTTATTATTATTATTTTTGGTGGGAATAAAAAATTTAGTAAGCAGGAAATTAAATAAGAAAAAAACTTAGAAAACGGAGATAAAAGTACATCTGTAGCTCAAATCCAGTCTGAAAAAAGAAAAAAGAAAAGGAAAACATTTTTATGAAATAAAAATTCTTAGTGCCAATTTTTCGTCATCAGTTTCAAATTGAGATAATCGTTGAATGAAGAGTTGTACCTTATCAGAGTTTGCGTGACTCCTTTCTCCTTGTAGGGCCTGATTCAAATTTGCTTATGATCAGTCTGACATAAAGCATCCTTTTGCCATCCTGTTTTCATTTTCTAAAATCACGCGCTGGTCCTAACCAAACGTTGTCTCTATTTTGCTGCATGTATCTTCTCATACTAATTGATGTCGTCCGTACGTAAATCAATTCTCTCAGTCAATGACGACAATGCAGCTTCATTTCATCTATGATATTTTAACTTGATTCGGCTCCCATAAAGCTGCAAGATCCAACTGTTAAATCATGGAATCCTTTCTTCTTCTGTTTTTTCCTCGATCATGATACTGTTTCGAGCCTGGATCATGCATAATCAGCATTTTCTACTGCCAATATCTTCAACGTTTTCTACTCCTCTTTTCTTGTCCTTCCTGCAGATTAATTATAAAAAACCAAGACTGGGATGGACGAAATTAAAGGTACAAATCTAGACTGTAAGGGAGACAAATAACTTACAAAATCAAAGCATATTCACATACCCATAGTTTCAAGACAAGATCCTTAACTTTCGACCTACCAAAACCAGAGCGTTCATCAGTACTACCTGCAGAAATTTCAAGTTTCTGATGGGTATGTCTGAACTGGACAATAAGATGTATATGGAGGATTGGTTAGGTGTGGTTGCGAGGAATCATGGGCGAGCCGGTTTTAAAAAAAAAAAAATGAAAAAAGAATCAATCATTGACGAAGACTTTACAGAACGTCACACTGTTTGCCGAGGTCACTACGGCAGGACCATGTGAAAAACGGTCTATTTTGAGGACTAGGTTTTATTGGCCAAGAAATTTTATATAGATGTTATCGGTTGGACTTGACCGATTATATCATGCCATTTCAGCAATAATTATTATAATATGTTGCATCAATATTAAAAAAAAAAAAAAAAATCAACATATGAAAAATTATATTCTCCTATCTCACATAAGGATAAGATATCTGAATAATTTTTATAAAAAAATATACATTTATGTGAAATGAAAAATAACTCTTAACATACCTAATAATTTTTTGTATCGATAAAATAAAAATACTGTTTGATTTATTGATCCAATTCCATGCAATTTCTTGCAGATAACCACAATTAGAAAATAGTTGACTATAAACAGAAGAAAGAAAAAATCATTGGCAAAGGCTTGCATTAAATAATAATAATAATATCGCTGGGCCAGTCCACCATGTGAGGAGATAGTAAATTAGGATAGGACTAAAATTATTGAAATTGATATTACTCCAGGAGTAAAACACGTGGTGATAAATAAATAAAAAATGCATCGAAACCCACCGGACACAATTTTATTGTTTTCAAGTAAGCATGAGAACAGCTTTCTTTCTCTTCTTCCTACCCGTCTTCCTAAAAGTATCCAATAGCCAATCATCCGAAAGTCAAAAAAAGCCGAACACATGCCTTTAGCATTGCCAATCACCCCAAAAAAAAAAAAAAAAAAAAAAAAACTGGAAATGACTCCACGCCGATCATAAGGCAGGAGAGAAAGACAGCAATGCTCTGTACCCAAACACAGATATAACGACCAAAAATTTATATAATTAAGTACATTTCAATACCATAAATACTTGATAGAGAAGGTCACACCCATAAACAGAAAGAAACGTATTGCGTTAGAAAATTAATATAAAATCATTCTTGATATCTTAACAATTTATTCTTTTGAATTTAGATAATTATTTTACATGATATCAAAATCTTTTTTTATCAAGAGTTGAGCATCACTATGACCTTCTTATGACAAGTCACATACTCCTCTCTTCATTTTTCGTATTTTACAGATCGGATATGTTTAATTATTCCGTTCAGGCAACTACTACGACTAGCTTAGCCTACTTTCCGAATCAAATTTTGTAGCTAGTACTGGCTAACCAGATGGGCACATCAAACTGACCAGTAAATCGTATGGTAGTTGTGAAAACCCTATCTTCAACCTCGAAGTTTAAGAGCTTAATTGATATAATGCATAAGAATGTGTTTTTCATCGAATAATGGCAAGAATCAAATATTCATTAAAAAAAAAGAAAAAGAAGAAGCAAGAATCAAATATTCATTAAAAAAAAAGAAAAAGAAGAAGCAAGAATCAAATATTCATTAAAAAAAAGAAAAAGAAGAAGCAAGAATCAGATCAAGATACAAAGTAAGAACCAGTCCAGAATAGTCAATCAATGCTTCTCCAGAAGTACATGTAAAAGCTGCTGTTGTTCACCAAAACAAACCTAGAAACTAATTTATTCACAACTACTAACCCGTAGCCACCATGGCGGCAGCTTGATGTCCCTTTTGGAAGAGAAGGCCCCAGAATAGCCCCTGCATGGATACACCAGTAAGCAGCGTCATCCGTAGGAGCCCTCAGCAAAAATATAATGGGCAACAGTTTGTGATGTGAATGACTGCCAGACTACAAAGGGAGTGACAATTTTAGAGACCAGATCGCCAATCCAATACAATCTGTAGAAAACCAAACTTCGAACTTGATGCAAAGGATATATTTAGATGTAAGACATGCCATAGAACCATTCTAGATATAAATTAACCATAGAGTCACAACTGCACACACAAAATAGAAGTGGTAAGCTGTAGAACAGTATGCCAAAATGAGACAGCAAAACACCTCAATTAAGACAGAACAAAGAAGCAAATGGATTCAGATTACTGTACTCCCTGTTACAAAGAACTTTCAAAAGTATCAAGAATCTCTAAGTTTATCCAACCTAGTAACCTGACCTTTACCTACTTTCCTTTCTACAAGTGACGAACAAGAGTAAGCATTATGACTTTTCTTTTTTTAACATTCTTGTAAATACCCATGCACAATTTCTTCTAATTAAGGAGCCTATTGCTTTTCTTTTAGTTTTTTTATTACAAAAGAATTCAAGTAAATCTTATAGTGGTTGCTGGGGTACCTTTTGCTGTACGGTTTAAACCATTCTTTCCCGTATTCAGCCAAAGAGTTTTTGTTTTCAGCAAATCAGATCAAGCAATGGTCTTACAAATGGAAGGTTAAGCGATGACTGGCCTGGTTACCTCCTGATCATGGGTGGACAAAGCAGACTGTCGACGGCTCAGTTATGGAGAAACCATGAGGAACAGCAGGGGTGGGTGGGGTGCTTCATGTCCAAGAGAGTCAGTTCCAATGTGTGTTCACCTATATCGTATACTCTAGGTGCTGTGGTCTCATACGTGGAAGTGGTACTGACCACTTGTAGGGCAGTAGAGATTTTTGTCAGCAAGCAGGCGAGTCTGATAGTTGTAGCAAAATCGGCTGCAAGCAATGCTATTGTATGGGCTACTGGAAGGGGAGAGGTGGCATGGAAGGTGAAAAGGTCTGGCTATATTAGAGAATATAATGAAGAGGATATTACAGAGTAATTAGAATTAAATCATTAATCAAGGAAACAAATAATATTAATTTAGAATCACAATTAATGGAGATCAAGGAAAATCAAATATCTTCTGAATGTAATCTAACTTTATCCAAAAATTGTTTGTCTAATATCCTATCTATCATATTCTCTAATAGGTTATTATGTCAGTCCTTTCCCAAGGTGCCTTTTAGATAATATTCTTTTGAATACTGTGGTTAATAGTTTGGCAAAGCAAGAAACTGGAATGGCCATTAATTTCAGCATGTTATTCTGAGTTCTGTTTGTTGTTTAGGTGGGTTGTTAATTATATTGAGTCTGTGCTGGTTGTCATGTGTGGAGTTAGCTTGTTCTGCTGCTAAAGCTTCTTGTATTGCTGGTTTTGTGGTTGACCCTCGGCTTTCCTTTTTTTCATGTTCTATTATATCGAAAGTGACAAAGAGATCAAATTCAAATAATTTTAAAACAGAAGTTTAAGAAATCGCTTATTTAAAAAAAATGAAAATGAAACAAACACAAGCAATGATTATTTACATGTCATGAAAACTTTCCATCAGTTAAATTCTTGTGTTTGGTTCCTGATTTGAGTAATTAAACATGTGGGGGTGGGGAGAGGTAGTAGAAATTATAGAACCACAGGGAAACCATGTATGCATGCAGAGAAATTTGACAGAAGGAAGCATTCCATAAATACTTTTAGCAAACTGTTATGCCGAGAATAAAGTTTTCAGGCAGTTTTTTGAGTGAAATTAGCAAATAATTTTTGCAAAACACTTAATGGTACCTTCTTATGCTTGCTTCTACGATCTTTTTGATTCAGTATCTTGTTGCCTAAAACTTGATTTTGCACTTTGAGCATTGCACTCCGATGTCTCAGTTTCTCAATCTCATCCAAAAGCTGTTTTCTTTCTCATATCCAATCATCCCAACTGGCATTTTGACACAATATATCGTGTTCATTTTCTAGCAGTGCCACCTCTAGTTGGCTAGATCCAAGCTACAAGAGTAAAAAATACAATGTCATCCAGAAGTTCCCGAACTTATTATAGGTAGAAACATGTGCAACCACAAGTTTACTGAGGAAAAAAAAACAGAAAAAGGGATAGACCTATAGTTTTTAACATGGCTATCACTGTACCAGTATTTAGTAATAGAAAAGGAGATGATTGAAATTGAACCAAAGGACATATATATATATAATCAGCAAAAAACAGCATCATGTGATTATACAGATGAGGCCACAGGATATCATTACGGCTAATCAGTTACCTAAAATTACAAAAAGTTATTTTCTCATCAGAATATTAATCAATCTACAGTCCCTGCAATGAGCATGTGATAGAAACACTAGAACCCCAAATCTTAGTTTCACTTCACGTAATAACAGAAGCATCAAATGTTAGTGGTAACAAAATTAGCACAAAATCCTTGAAAGATTGGCATGCGGCACTAAGACCCAAATCAATAGAAACTAAACTTAAACTCTGAAACCAAGCTGATGGAACTAATACAACTCATAAAATTCATCTGATTTACAAACATGAAAAAGACAACTAGAATTAACATTACACAGTGGCTGAGTACAAACCTCTTCATCCAACGTGCCTTTTTAGAAATGCATTCCTCATATTGAATTGCCTGATTAGGCATCATAATAACAATAGAAAGAAAGAGATGTACAGTATAATTAAAGCATAGCTACAAACCATGAAGATTTAAGCAAAGTGAACAATAACTTCCTATTGAGTGTAATTGGCTACAATTTTAATTAATTCGTTTGTTTTTTTCCCAGAAATTTTATTCAAGGCAGATAAAAGAATATAGGTTATACAAAGATACAATCAGAATCTAAGATAAGAACAAAACACAAAGCCAGAAAGATTGATATAGCTTTTAAGTGAGAGAGAAAAAAGGAACCCAACTGAAGACACTTTAAGTCATCTAAGTCAGCGACTGAAGAAATTTAGTGAAACTCAACAGGTAAATATTTCCAGATACAGCTAGAGCATAAAGGATGGATATGATCCAACCGGATAGCAGCAAAGACAAAATCAAGGCAATAAGACCATAGAAGTGATGTAGGAGAGACAGTTAGACTGAACCAAGGCAAGAGATGTGCAAAAACAAGATAATGGGACGAAAACACAGAAAGAGTAACGGTACCAATTGTATCTTATAATTTAATAAAATCCTCAACTGATACAGTCCAATTATTGAGAAGATGAATTAGCTATAAACTAAGCTAATTCCCAGGGAAGGAAAATAGAGAATAACAACCAATAAGGGTAGGAAACAGGAAGAGATCTCATTGATTAAAAGAGAGAAAGTTACATAAAGAGAATTCAGAGAGAAGGAATCACAAATGCAAAAAGATACCTTACAATCCTACGCTCAAGTCCTTTAATAGCTAATACAAAACATGTAGGACTTGCTAGCCTGATTCTAACCAACTTCCCTAGCTTCCAAGACTACTATCTAACTAACTGAATCTTCCCACTGATACTTTCCCTGCAACATTACTAACTGAATTTTTCTACCAATACTACCTATTTGTACTGTAACATCAACGTCATGAATTTTATAACTGATCAACATCCATTGGCATTAATTAATATATAATCATGATGACACCATGAGTAATAGTTAGAGATTCACCATCAGCAGGAGCGAGAGTTAGCTGAACCATGGCAAGAGATGTGCAAACCAGATAACTGGACTGAACTGAGGCAGTAAGGCACCAATTGCATCTTATATTTAATGAAATCCTCAGTATTCTCCTTAATCTTATAACGGATCAACATCCATGGGCGGATCATCACAGATTTACAGAGATAATATAAGCAATGCTTAGAGATTCGCCATCAGCTATTACTATATCATTACCAATAGACACGTTCTTCATATCTAGCTATCAACTAATCATTGACAATTTTGACTCACGTTTTCTGTGGAATTCAACAAGCCTAAATGAAGCACATCGATGTTTGTTAATTCATATGCCCAAACAGCAACAATGTAATACCAAAAAAAAAAAAAAAAAACAGCTTAGCCTAGGTGAATAACTTAACAGGCTGGGTGCAGGAAGGAAAAAGAAAAAAGAAAAAAAAAAAAAAAGAACACCTTGCACACACACGCACACATGTAGAGGAAAAGAGATGCACCATTAGTTTTTGCAGAAATGGCTTTTGTGACAGCGTCTCCAATATATTTTCTTGATTAGAAAAAACTCCGTCAAATTGAAAAGTTCGCTTTTTGGGTTCCCTATCTCAACTTCTTTCGACAGCAATTTTTGAACCATTTGAATCATTTTCTTTCCAACAAGATTCATTTTCCCTCTTCAACTGGGCATTTTCTTCCTAAAGATTTTTCAAGTTAATCCCTAGCTCTTCTTTCTTTGTCTGCCAAAAAGAAATTAAGAGATATCAAAAAAATGTGGTTCCTCATATTTGCTTCACATGAATAAGACCAGAAGGTACAGTGCTGTCTATACTCGGCATCAATTTTTCTTCTCTTCTCCTTTTGATCTTGTGGAGTTACATGAATATTACTTCCATCCCATGGTACTCCTGGTTGTGCCAACATGTGTTGAGGCATTGTCTGCATCTTTACTTCCTCTGACCCCATACAATAAATGCATCTTAGTAATGGCACTAACACTTCTCTATGAATAACTCTAGAATGTGAACTACCATCAAGCACAGTAATTTGTGGGCTGAATTTGTTAAACTTGCAAGCAACTACTACTAAGCATGAGGATAAAACGAACGTTCATTCTTAAACCTCAAAATAAACCTTTAATCAGTCCTCATTAATGTTAGGATTTTTTTCTCACGAAGGATGGATATGGTAAAATAAATAGGATGGAAAGGAGAAATGATCGATTTTGAACCATCCATCTAGTTCTTCCGCTAACAAGAAAAGAAAAGGATGGTGTAAATTACAAGTGAGGAAGAATAGGAAAACATAGAAATTATCGAATCCATCCCTCCGTCATCAATCGTCCTCACCATCCCACCTAACAAACACACCGCCGAAGTACACTAATGTGTATGCATTAGATTTCTCACAAATGTGGGCATGTTTTAAGACTTGAAATTAACTTGTTTATAGACTCATGAGCAATTTTATACGAAAACAAAAAAAAACAAAAAAACAAAATGGAAACAAGGTAATCCTATTTAATGAATCAAATGACTGAATATTTTTCTTTCTACTCATTGCAAATTGAAAGGAAAAAAAGAACTAATCATTGTAATTAGATATAGATCCAATAAAAATTGTAAGGAATGATCACGTTCAGTAGTTACCTGTTCGGTACTGCTCTGGGTAGTGGGGAACCATGTCACCCCATAAACCGTAAGTGATCTTCATCGGAAATTCAAGGAGCTGTGATTGTGTGTACAGTTTAAATAAAACAAGAAAAGTGACGGAGTTTAGCAGAAAGCATGTAGTAAATAGATAAGACAGAGCGGAGTCGAGCGAAATACTGTCCACGCTGCGCGATTGATTCTTGACATAGTCGGAAAACGCTGTGTAGCGGCCGATCCCTCTCTTAACCAACTCTAGGGTCGTTTTGTTATTTTTTCACCATAAATGCCATACAACACCAAAAAATCTGCTAGTTAACAACACCTATTCGTTGTTATTTTGCAAAAGTAATCTAACCAACCTTTCTTGCACAATAGAGAGAACTACTGGTTTTATCACTCCATGGAATCAAAATCAAATTAGCTAGAGATGTGTATTAGTGTTCTAATCAGTTTCTATAAGGATTGGCTCCAGGAAATCAAGAGCATAAAACCCAAACAAGATTAACAAATTAAAACATATACATTCCCAAACCGGAAACTATTCCTACAAGGAATTATACCCATTGATGAGCTGTAAAGAGTATAACCATAGATATTCCAAAACAGTAGGAAAAAGAAAATTAAAAGAATGACACGTTGAAAACTACTCCCGAGAAATATGTAAAATTAGCATTGGTCTTTTTTAAAATGAGCAACTCCATATAAATAATTAATAGACAAAGAGTAGGACTTTTCTGTAATAACTTGAAGTAACTATATTTATAGTAACTCCAGATAAGTAATTAATATGGCTATGTCACTGGGTTTTTTTTTTTTTAAATAGGATACTTTTAAATCTTATTTGTTGGAGCAGGATGATTTTGAATTTATTTCTCATAATAAAGTATTATGTGTCAACTAGAATCCATTTCAATTGAATACAATGATTTGTTAGATTTTTTTATATATAAAATACCACGTCAGTTTTTTTTTTGCCCCAAGAAATTAAGTTATCTCTTTTTACAACCAAAAATCTCTTTTGTTTTCCAAGGAAATGACTAATTTCAGCTTCTGCCAAAAGAACAATAAAATTTTATATCGAACCTTCTCAAACTCAAGAACCATGTCATCTTTCCCCTATCTCTTTTCTTTATTTATCAAATTTTATAGAAAATTTAGCTTTGTGTTTTTGAAGATTTTAGTTTCTGATTATTGATTTTTGAGTCCCTTTTCCACTCTTTATATTGAGTTCACGTTCAGTTCAATTATGACTTTTTATTACCATTACAGCAAAAAACTTTGATGGTACGACCCTTTTTTCTTTCTTTTCTTAGTATGTTTTCAATTTACTTGTGAAAAATGATAACTTTTCCTTTTGGGGGTGTTTGTTTGCTGAGAAAAACGTGAAGAAAATAATAACTAACTAGGATGTGATCTAAAGTTTGTCTCTTGAAGTCTATTTTCTTGTCAAATTCAGTTAAGTTTGGAAACGTTGTTTATTTGGTAGAATTGGGTTTTGGGCATTTGTTTGTTTTGATAAGATTTGGATCTTTGATCTTATTGATTTCAAGTAGTGGAAAAGGATAAAAAAACGAGATGACTCTTCTTTGCTTCATAGATTTTTGGTTGCTTACTTCTTCAAAGTCATTTATAGTCTGTTTGAACCCAATTGCTCTTTTTCTTCGCATTTCTTTTTTAAAGTTTTATTTCATGTGTGATGGGAAAAAAGTACATATCACTTTTTTCGTCTCTAAATTATAGTTATTAGATAACACTTTGTATTTTTCCTTTTCTCAGAATGGGTTAAGGAGCAAATTATGTAGTATCATGCTCTTTTTGTGATTTAGTTACTTCTATTGGTTTCCTCTCTCAGTAACTCTTATTGAATTGTTATCTTTCTTTTCTACACAGAGATTACAAGGAGTTTTGACCCATTTGTCAATCTTCTAAACCAGGTGATTTAATCTATCTCTTACTTTTGTTTGGTTGGAAGAACAAGACATGAAGGGAAAGATGGAGAATGGATCTTACTGCTCGCACCATGGGAAGAATATTTCCTGGATGAGTTAAAAGACCTGCCTCTTGAGAAATTTCCTTTACCAGAAATGGATTTAGCAACTAGCCTTAAGATCCTTCTATTTATTGATTGCTAGCTTTGGTTTTTGAAAAAGAAAATTTACATTGTTCTATTGCATGCTTTCAAAAACTTACTTCATGTTGTATCGATCTCCTTCATCAGTCTCATGAATCTGGTACCTCTCAATCGTTGAATGTGTTAATTGTTGTTCCATTATAATAGTTATGCTTAGGTTACATTAAATCGTTATACGATAGAGGCCAAGAATGAGCATTACAAGTTCAACAAGTTGAAGGAGTATATGGTAAAGTATAATAGAATTTTTCTTTTAAATCTTAAATACTCTCCTCCTCTTTTGTAATGAATAAAAGAGATATACTCTATAGGTTTAATTATTTGTTTAATTTTCATTACACTATTATAAGGCATCCAGTTGAATATTTCTACTTCTTTGATTAGGTTTTGCCCAATATGGCTTCAGTTCCAAATATTAAAGCAATCTCCTATGATGTCTGCGGTGTAGTTAGCATGGTTGGTTTTGGATACAAGGAAAAGGTAATTTACTTCAATTAAAATGTGATAGCATAGTAAAAGTAATTTTGCAATTATGTTTTCTTTCTTTATTTATTATAGACTTACATATTTACTTTTTCAAATATTTTCATGTATGACTTCTAGGTAGCTTTGACCCATGGACTTGAGAATGTCAAACCTCAAGTCAGACAGACAGATGGAAATGGCAATTTCTGCTTTGAGGTATGCTTGGAGCAGTACAATTAGGAAACACCTTTGATCGCTAACAAAATTATGTTTTTTCCTTGTATTGCTTAAGCTTGTGAAAAGAAGTAAATTATTTACTACTTATACATTTTTAAAACATGACCATATATATCCTGTATGCTACTGCAAAAAACATGAATTATTTTGAATGAAACTGAAGAAAATGTGAGAAACAAAGAGAACAAAAAAAAATGGCATATTAATAATCATTGTGGATAGTGGGACCTACACAGGTTTTCTCTCTTTTGCTCTTTTCTTTTTCAATCATGTTAAACCAGTGCCATTTTGCAACACCACAAATATAGACTGAGATACAATGTGTATATATATATGCATTATGAAAACAATAATGGAATATGCCTTGATGTTTAGTTTTCGATGTTTGTTTTAGTTAGTGCAAGGAAAGTAAGCCTTGTTAAATTCTTTAGAGTTGTGACTCAGTGACTTATAGATAGCTAAGTTATATGAGCTATTATTTCAATGGATGACTTGGGATCTGTTTTTTTTATTTTCTTAAGGTTTGGCCAATTGGTATAGGTACTATGTTTTAAATGCTTTAAAGAAGTTGGTGTTAACGCATAGGTACTGGTAGATTTTTGCTACATTGCTTAGAGTTTTTGAACTTGTTGATGCATTAAAATGTTTGTTTGATGTTAAGAGTATGATTTACATTGTATTTGAGAAATCTTAGATGCTCCTACACCTTATCATATTATTTTTATACTCAGGAAGGAACACGACAGAGAATTTTTTTTACCAGTCATTGTTTTACACTAGAAACATATAATTAAGGAAAAAAGCACTATTAAGATAGTAGTGTTGCAGAAGAGCTTGTGGTAGTTTCCATTTTGTAGCTACTGGAAGTTTTCATTTTCCTATTTATATGTCCAGAATCTTGTGGTAGTTTTCATTTCATTTTGTAGCTACTGAAAGTTTTGTGTGAAGTAATTTGGTGACAGAGGAGCTTTCATGCCAAAACCAAGATCATCCACTGGAGGACCTTAGGGAAATCAAGCATGAACTTCAAGATGAGAAAAACAGTGAAAGCTCAGATGTGAAGTGGATCATTGCTATCCAAAATTTGAAGGCTTAAATGGACGGGATGAAGACAGTAATGAGAGTTTGGAGAAATCAAATCCTATTCTAGTTAAAAGCTCAGACAAGGCACTACTAATGAATCAGTCTTTAACATCTGTCAAGTCAAATAAGCACTAATCCAAAAGGGAAAAAAAGAAGATGTTATACCGATGATAGCCTACTGTATAGTTGAATTAAGCAGCCAAAAACATAAGATTTTAAAACCTGATTTTTATGTTATTTTCCTTGCACTTCTGAGTGACCCACAAGTTTCTAAAAACAAGGTATGAAAAAAGCATGTATGATTGTAATTTACATTTAAAAAAATAAAAGAAAAAGACTTTTGCATTCTGTATTGTCTTGTCCATCACCAACCAACTTAGATATAAAGATGTGTGTTCTGTTTTGTACACCATTACAAAACACAGTACCAAAATCAGGTTTTGATTTTATGTTTCTTTAATGTATATGGGATGCTTGTTAAAATGGGTAGTGAATATGTGAATGACTTATTTGTTGTGGGTTCGACAATATTCTATTTGTTGTGAATGACTTATTTGCAGAGCTTGGATGTGTTACGGTTAAAATAGGTACTGGGAATAAGCCAAATCAGAATAGATAAGCTTTCTGAACTCTGAAGCAGTCTTTAAAATGCATCTTTACATCATTTTTTCATTCATTCTCTTACTAGAAGAATTTTGTAGCAGTTATGGGCATCTAAACTGAAGAGAAATGGAAACCATATGCAATTACCTGAATACTGGATCGTTATGTTTGTGAAGAAAACTTATTAAAAAAAAAGTAATAATAGGATGCTGACTTTTATTTCTACAATATTCTTAAAATTTTACAAACAATAAATTATCTTGAATGTTAACTTTAAATTTAATAAAGTTGCATTAGCGAGATAAAAGAATCGATGAATTCGAATAACTATACTGTACGATCTTGGAATAAAATGCACTAAAGTATGGGAAAAATAAATAAAAGATCATCTTGCTTTCGAATTTGTTTATGGAGAATCCATTGACCAACAAATCCATGTTACGCATCATTGGTTGACATCCAAAAGTTATAAACTGTAAAATATTAAGAAAAAATACAACAAATTAGTTGCATATCCACTATAAAAGCATGAAATATATTAAGATAAATAAATATATATATATATATATATATATATATAATTACTATTATTTTGACGGATAAGTTCGACAATCATGACTCGCTTGTTTACACAATCCACAATGTATTGTGGCTCGACCTTTTCGAATGTCCATCTCATTCCGAATGCAAGTAGATTTTGGTCTTCTTTTTTCTTTCGCTCACGACCGGGACATAATCTTGGAATGCTAGTTTCCGGACAATAATCTTGATGAATAATAGGATGAAACTATGGTGCCCATGTATGAAAATGTTCCCGCATACTCGTAATACTTATCAATAAATTACCAACTATCAAGAGCCAATCTTCCACACACTTGCTAGTACATGCGAACATGAAAAATTATAGATTTGCTATTTACCACACAAGCATTTACCATTATCTAGTTGAACAACTTGTTTATTATGATCCCGTTGCATTCATTCACCATGAGGTGTTATTATTATTTCAAAGATTCCTCTATTCTCATTAAATGGAATGAGTTCATGTGCATTAGCCACACTTAACTTTGCATTAAGCTTTGCTAGGATATGAGGAGCATAAAGTTTTCCTTCATCAACGACTTCTTTTGAAAGTTTTCGTCTATCATTAAAGTAACTTACCGGTCGATAAAATGTCAATTGCACACAAGCGAGTAATAGGAAAATTACAAGCTCCTTTCAATAACTATTGAATATCTCGGATAAATTAGTCGTCATCACCCCACACCGTCGACCCCCATCATATACTAATGTCCATTTCTCTCGAGGAATTTCTTTTAGCCATTTTCGAGCCTCGAATTGGATTTTTCAATCTCATCCATAATAGTATTAAACTTTTGTAGTTAGTGTGCACTCTCAGCTCTATAAACAAGATTTTTTAAATGTTTGCTATGAAATCTATCATTAAAATTATTGCATAAATGCCTTAGGCAAAACCGATGATACCCGTAAGGCTCTTTCCATCTTGAACCGTGTTCAATCACTGCTGCAAGAATACCGAGCATGACTGTCCGATATCAAACAAATACCTCTACTAATCGGTGGCCTTCTTTGTGATAAAAGCTAGAAACCAACTCTAGCTATCAAAGGACTTCTCCTCCACAATAGTAAATGCAAGTGGGAAAAGTTATCAATTTGCATCAACTTTTATTGCAATTAGCATCTTCCCTGTATATCTTCCATATAAATACGTGTCATCAATACTAATTACGGATCGACAATGCTTAAACCCCTCGATAGACGCTGAAACACTTCAAAAAACACGTTTAAACAAAGCTAAATTTGGATCCTGTAAAAGATCATAGCACCACTATACAATGGTGCCACCATTATATGTTTGACTAACTTCCATAATTTTTGGTAACACTTGATAAGATGTATCCCAATCACTAAACACCTTTGTGATTGCTTTCTATTTTGCATGCCACATCTTTTTATAAGAAACATTGTATTAAAACTTTGACTTCACTTGTTCACATAAAGTCGTTATCGAGATAGATGATTATACCTTCACTTGACCTTCTATTTCTTGGGTTAGGAATTTTGCATCTAGTTGGCGATGGTCTCAACTAAGACTTGGATAAACACAAGTATACCCCTTCCGTTTGAATGCACGAAGTCTCCATTTACACCCATTTTCCCTATGTCGTTTACATCTCAAACTCCATACCTTTTTTTAGTTTCAAGAACTTCATACTTGTCGGTGTCGCTTGATAGAGTATAATTTTATTGCTCTCATGTAATTCTTCCTTGTTTTGAAAGATTAACCCCTCAATCAACTCATCATTAGGATTCCATCTATAATTTTGAGGTAATGAAGTCCAATTACTTACCAAAGCAATATCTACCCAATCTACATCTTTGAAGGTGTGTCTAGTTCATGTCGTGGTTGATTCTACTCATTCTCTAAGCCATAGTCTTCTAAAAAAGGTTGCTCTTGTAAATTTACCATACCATCATCACATGTCACATTCATAGCCACATCTTCAACTTCATTGTATTTGTCTTCTTCTTCAGATTCTTCATATTTTTCTCTTTCCTCACCTATATCAGTTTCTTCTTCTATCAAGTTATTATTCACATGCATATCATCAAATATATCAGTACTTTCATGTTCAACCATTTGTTGTATTGTAGTCATATCCACACTTGTATCACTTTCATGATCATATCTATGCACTTGCACCAGTAGCTAAAGAAGTTGGATGATTCGGAGCAGAAACACGATTTCTATCAAAATGTAAAGGAGAATTAAGTAATTTGTTATCCTCTTGAGTGGTCAACTGCCTAAATACATCCGAACCAATGTCTTGAATATCACGTTTAGTCGTATCAATGGGTACAGTTTCGTCTCAACATACAACTCAATGTTACTAATCGAAGCATGAATAGAAGAAATTTCAAGCATAATATCTAAGTTGCTATCATCAATAATACACAAGCGAATATACTTGACCATTGATGTCCGTACAACTATAGGATATCTGTAGACTAACTTCAGTCGAACTTGTTGTTTATCAAATCCTGTAATAGCATATAATTTATCTAGTAACTCATGATATTTGATCATTCGAGTCACCTTAATGGCCTTCCTTGGCGGATTATCGTAACATGGTCCTTCTTCTCCATCAATAATATGTCCATTCCAGGTAGCAAAATATAGGTATATCTCTCGTCGGTCATTACCAACTTGAAAAAATAAAATTTAATGTTACATCAAATTTAACAAAAATATAAAACTTATATAATTTATAGATATTATATGCTAATTGGTTTTCTAAATTTATATATCACATCTACTGAGATATTAATAGACATCCATATTAAATTATTCCAATCCTTTCCTGATCAAATGAGAAGAGATAATTTTAGACGTTGTACTATAGTAATACACATCCATAGAAAAAAATTGGCAGAATGATTTTTTTCTCAAATGCCGAAGCCTATTGCACTTCTATAGACTACAACATATTGGCCTATATTTCCAAATCCTTGTCCTATTCCTCTTCAAGAAACAGAAGTTACAAAAACACATGCTGCAGCAGTTCATGTGCATAGCTGGACAACTATTGGACTTTTTAATGGCAGCAGGCTTGCAGTTGTTATATATACACGATCTCGAAAAAGACAAAGAGAAGATTCTAACACAAGGGGATAGCATTCATAAATAGTAGAATTAGAGATATCCCAACGAGCTCTAAGATCATTACAAAAGAGATGGTCTCGAGAAAATTTATTATCTAAAGGAAGTGAAGAAGAATCAGTAAATCTTATTAGCATATGCTGGATAATTAAAAGACAATTTTATCAAAATTAAATAAATAAAAATAAGAGAATTTAGAAAAGTACCTTAAATGCCAATATACATATGCAAAAGAATTTTTTTAGTAATTATGGTTTTGAATTGTGAGAGTATATGAACTTTAAGAAATTAGGACAAATACAACAAAAAAGAGACAGAGAGCGTAAGTTAATTTTTTCTTTTATGTTTTTAATTTTTTTAAATTATTATATTAAATATATATTATAATACTTAATTAAAAAGATGACATTGATGCCTACATGGTAAAACTATCTTTTTTTATAAATAAGATTTAAAATACCTTATTTTAAAAAAATATATTAAAAAGTACACTCGTTTAGGGAAAAAAAACCAGAATCTCAAGAATTTTTTAAAAATAAATACATCAGCTAAATTTTGTGAATGGAATTTAAAGTGTAGATTATGAATTCTTTTAAATCAATAAATATTTATACTGTATTTTTTAAAACTTCTCATGTTTATATATATATATATATATATATATATATATATATATATATATATATATATATAGTTTATTTTTACTACAAAAAATAATGAAAATTTTATTGTTTATTTAAATAATATTATATTTAAGTGAAGTTAAAACGAATTCATTAAGCACTCTAAATGTCTTCTGACTATGATAATAGTGTTTTTTTATCATGAACAAGACAAGTTTAATTCTTATTACGTACATAATTGTATTTATAACTTTAACAATTGAAAAATCTTTATAATATTACTTACATTATAATAATAATAATTGATTTACACTTATAAAATTAATAAGATATAAATATCAAAGAAATTCTATTAATATAAAAGTATAAAAATAATTGATTAATTTATATTAATTATGGAATCATTTAAAAATACAAAAATTAAATTATTTTTCAAAATATAATTTCCTTCCGCAGGCTATTAATAACCATAACTGGTTGTTGATGTAGCTTATTACCATGTTCCACGGGCTTGGTGCGGTAAAATAGGGCCGAGTCATGAGAATAGAGTCTTCAATCCAATCTAGCAACAAAATGGAACGCAATTTTCTTACATTTTATGCGCAGTTGATATTGGAACATACAAGCTTTTAAAAAATCATAACATGACGAATTAATATGTTTCGAAGGTTGTATTATTCGTTGAGATTTGATTTCTTTCTATTTTGATTTAATTCATGAGGACTTATTGAGTATTTCTAATATTGTTAGAGGTGTCAACAAATTATATTAAGATGGATTTATAGTAGATTTAGATCAGAACACAATAGATTCATATCCTCTTTGTTTAATAAATGAATAGAATCAGATCTTATGAATTTTAGATAGGCAAGAGTTCTAAGAAAAATTTGCAAGACTTTCCCCTAATTTTGCTAATTTTTCAACATTTTTCCATAATTCCTACCACTCATATTTATAGGCAAACTAGGCGGAACTTTTTCCTTTGGTTGACTCCATCACAACCCTTTATTTGGCAAATTTGGCCCTTAATTTTTCTTTTAATCCTAGCATTTCAATTGGTTTCATCCTAACCATCCATTTAGTCTTTAAATTTTGTCTCTCCATCTAATCACTCTTTAAATCTAATCCTTCTATTTGTGCATGCATTAATTACACCCAAATAATTGGGCTGAAAGTGTCAGCAAAGGGGAGAAAAATCTCTCCCAAAAGTTGCTTAATTTTGGTCCCAAAAGTTGCTAATATTTTCTCTAATTACTCATCCATTAGTCCCTCAATTATTCAATTGATTACTTTAGGCCCTTCTTGTAAAGGTTTTATAACAACTTTTTAATTCTTAAAGTTCATATCTAATTTAATTTAAAAGTTCAAACTTTTAATTTTATGCAATTAGGTCCCTAATTTTATGCAATTAGGTCCCTAATTCTCTAATTTTATTCCATACCCTTCCAAAATCCAATTTATTTTCATAATAAATTCCAAAACCTCATAAAATAATTTAATCATCATTCATATAATTTTTATACACTAATTTAGGCCTTCAAATTAATTATTTTGTGTAAAAATACAGACTTTTCCTTTAGAACATACTAGTTAGTTGCCCGCGTTACGCTGCGGGTTGAACAGTAACAAAATTGTTTCAAAATTTTATAATTTTTTTATGTTTTCATAAATTTTCTACCTAAAAAAATTAATTTATTCTTCTTGATGCATTGATTTTTAGATAAAAATATATGATAATTTAAACTGGAATATGAATCAAGAATTAAAAATTACTTTAAAAATATATTTTTCATAAGAATATATTTAAAAAATAAAGTTATAATTAATTTATAAAATTGTTTAAAAATTAATTAATAAAAAAATTATTGTTATTTAATCTTGATGAGATGAATATTTTTTAAAAGTGTATGCATTTGATATATATATACACACACACACACACACACAACACACACACACACACACACACACACACATACAAAATAATCTATAATGTTATCATTAAAAAAAACTATATTTGAATAATTTGTTGGATCCTTTAAAAAATTATTTTAATTATTTTATTTCAAAGGAACTTGTTCCGTAATGTTAAAAAAAATATTCATAGCGAATAATTGGAGTTATGTGTGAAAATGTATAATTAATTTTTAATAAAATCAATTATTCAACACTTTTTTTATACAATTTATCCATATTTAATAGATCGAGATAAATTATCTGAAATATATTTTTAACCTTATATATATATGCAACTATCATTTAAAAATTTTAAGAATTCATGATATATATTATATCAAATTATTTTTTAGAAAAGAAAAAACAACTATGTTTTAAAATTTTATTCTAAAATTCAAATTTAGAGAAAAATTAATCATATTTGTGAGTAAATTTTGTACAAAAAAATATTAATTGGATGAAAATTTTTATGAAATAAAAAAAAATGGAAAAAGAAGATGATTACTACCGACGATTCTGGTGATGGTGTCTTCTTTGTTCAATTTTAGCTCGCGGTGGATATCTATCTATGAGTTGTTGATGCTAGAGTACCTTTAATTGACTAACATTGCCAGCAAATAAATTCGGCAAATAAATTCAGCAAGTTCCTTTGCTTTTAAGTGCAAATGTCTTCTTGAATTTCAGTATCCTAAGTCGGAGTTCTTATGTTTCACGATAGGATCAGTTTGTCCAATTCTTTTATTTAATGAAACTTTTAGGATTCAATAATCGCATTGAATGTCGTTTATAAATGTGGAAGATGAATTTATCGCCTTGACTTTCTTTGGAGATCTGCTAGTGGAGCACCAAGCTCAACTCTATTGGGTAGCAAATGCTAAAGATAATATAATAGTGAGCAAAAATTTTAAGAACGTTTGGTCCTAGTTCACTCCAAAAAAAAATAATAATAAAAAATTTGGGTGATAAAAAATAGTTTAGGAAAAATAAAATTTTTAAAAATGCTTAATCAAAATCCACATTACATTGAAAAAAAACTACCAGTAGAATTTCTTGTGAAAGTTATAGTGAAAGTTTCACACTTTGATTCATTGTTAAGCACAACATCAATCCTATTAATCCTTGCAACAAAAAGAGTGCAGATCTCATTGTCCAAATCAAAACCAACCACATTCAAACCCTATAAAAATTTACCTATCTGTTTGATAAAAGAAAGAAGCAATCGGCATACAACAGTAAAAAATGGAGTCCAATTTAGGATAATTGAACAAATAAGAGAAGAACATAATCATCGTAAATCATTGCTGAGGGATTGATTGTATAAATGATTACTAAAATCAATCTATAAACAGGCTTCTTCAGCCACCATCGGAAGAACAAACTCATGCTTAAAAGATGAATTCGCTTCGTTTTCACCAGGATTCAACCTATTTATAAACAATCTTACTAACCAAATAAACATGCATCACCCTGAATTTAAAATGATACCCAGATATTATGCAATCAACACCAGTAGATGTAAATTAAAATATTTCTTTCTTTTTCATGAGATGCAAGGCATTCCAATTCTAGTACATTAGTCGGCATGCACAACCTAACCACACTGTAGAATAGAACAATAACCAGAACCATTTACCAGGTGCATGATCATATAAATCCAGTGTAAATATATCCATTGAAGTAATAAAGGCTACCGATAAATCATATACTGATGCATGTTTCAATGAATTCCTTTTGTTCTTTTATTAACCAGAAAATTAAAAAGGGAGAGGGGATACCCCTAAATTTTATCCCTTTTTTTCCCCAAAAATCAGGTAAAACAAAACCAAGAAAAAGGAAATCAAACGTCCCGCTGCTTGCTGCCTCCCCCACGTCATCCGTCTCAACCAAGCACGCTGCCCCCTCGTCGTCCTCTCTAACAAACCTAGCCAAGCCAAAACCCCCTCTTAGTGTCTTTTCTGACAAACCCAGCAGCCACCAAACCCACCTGAACCTAGCCACGCCATCCCTTACCTCCACAGACCCTTCAGCTGCCCCCATCGCCATCCTCTTTCACAAACCCAACTGAGTGCGCTGCCTCCATTGCCTTCTTCTCTCACAAACATAGCCGAGTTAACCCCCCTACCGCCTTCTCTCATGAATAAAGCAGCCACCAAACCCACCTGAACTCATCCACGCCATCCCTTTCATTCACAGACCCTTCGGCCGCTCCCTTCGCCTTCTTCTCTTAGAAACCAAGCAAAGCCAACACCCCCTCACACTCCTCTCTCACAAACCCAGCCGAGCCAACACCCACCCTCGCCTTCTTCTCTCACGAACCCAGCAGCCACCAGACCCATCTGAACCAGCGACATCATCCCTGATACAAAAAAATCTTCCATCACTTTTTCAATATGATAATAGAGATAAAAAAAAAATTCAGAGAAACAGAAGCCAAGGAGAATTGGAAACAAAATCATGTAGAAATCTATGAATTTTTTTAAAGAAATGCAAAACTAACCTGACATTTTCTTATCTTCCTTCGATTATAGCAGAGAGAGAGAGACGCGCGGCGCCCCGGCGGGGGGAGGGGAGGGGGGCTGGGGGTGGGTTGAAGAAAGAGGATGTGTGGGAAGAAATGATGATGGAGTTGGGAAATTACAAAAAATAGTGCGGAAATGCAAAGATAACAAAAAGAAAGGAGAGGGCAAAACGTAATGACAGGGTCATCTAGTGGCATAGAAAGTAAATAATAGATCAATATAAGGGTGCAAAAAAAGGGCTTATGAGGACCAAAAGTCGAAAGGAAGAAAATCAAAGGTCCAATGATAGTATTTACAGGGACAAAAACTGCATGAGTGCGAAATATTTAAATCACTTCCAAATCAGAAATTGAACATCTAAAGGCCAAGAGTGTGACAGCAAGAAGAACAAAAAGATCGAATGGTGCAAAGATAAATAATGGTTCAGCACAGTGCGATTGAGCGAGGGTGAACAGCTTCACTCCTACGTCTTTTTAGAGTCTTTTATAATTTTCTATACATAAAAAAATACATTCAAGCTCATCAAATATTCTTATACATCCTAACTAATTTTTCTATATCCATTGAGTAATTTTCTTACATCTTTAAAACACTTAAATTAATTAATTTATCCTAAAAATACTATTCATATGCATAGAAAACTCAAATAAAATATTCATTGAATATCAAAAAATTCATCTAATGGCACCGAATAATCTAACACACATCTAGCAAGTATTTTATATAAACAAAATATTTTCAAGCATATTTAGATGCTTAAAATAATTATTTCACATAAGTGCACCGAATATTCTATCAACCTATTTGCAATCATTCCATGCCCATGAAACGTTTTTCTAACACCTTTAATATATTTTAAACTTATTTAGTAAATATTTTAACGAGGTATCGAGTGTTACACATAGGTACCTAAAGAGGCTGGACATCAAGCTATTTTATGCACATCATCTTCAAACATATAGATTTATTTATATCTAGAAAATCTATCCATAAATGAAAAGATTTGACATCTATAAGTGTCGTCTATTAACATATCTACTAATGGCATCGAATATTCATCTTTGAAGGTATTTTAATTAAGATCTCTAAAATCTATACATATTCTATTTTTTTTCATTTTTTTATAATTTGAATAATATTAGAGATCATTTGACGTATCTTGAAGTTCGATGAAACTAGCTCGAAGTAACTTCTTGATTTCCTATTGAACCGCATTGACCACTTCTCCGATCATCATTCTTGGAGTTTGCTTTATTGGAGTCACATTGCTTTTGATTGTTAGTCAATGCTCTACCAAATTCTTGTCTAGTCCGGGCATCTCATGATATTCCCAAGCAAAGCAGTCTTTATACTTCTTCAACAAAGAAATCATTTTTTCTTTGAAAGCAAAATCCAATAACTTACTAACAAAAGTAAGTCTTTGCTCTTCTTTTGTTCCTAGATTAACTTCTTCAAGCGGATCTAGAGAACCAAGTCTAAGCACATCGACTTGCTGCACCATTGACGTATCTACTAGGTTGCTTATGCAATCCTTGTCAAGATATTCTTCATGGATGCAATCTAGTATGCCGAGGTTAGCTATTCTTCCTTTTCGAATAGCTCTTTTTTTGGTTTCGAAGACATTCAAATGATGGAGGATAGCTTGAATTGCCTCCAACCCATCTATCTTCGCTTCATTTCGACTCATTATTCCAATATGAGTGTCGCTACACGATGTCGGATGGGACTCCAAAAAACAATTCTAGGTTTTCTAGGTTTTCAAAGATTCGCATCTCGTTTGCGGGAATTTTTAGGATACGAGTTATTATTGAATTTGGAGTCGTCACCTAGTATTAAAGGAACTAGGAACCTAAAATAGCATCGGTGCGAGAGATTCTAAGGTAAGGAGTTGGTTACTCTTTGGGAAGACAACGGACACCCAAAAATGTCCTTTTCTAAGAAAGGTACTATGTTTGGTTGAGTCTTAAATTTATTTCTTAAAATATTTTATTTGTGCCAAGTTATTTTCGATTTCAACTCTAATTTTTCGACCCAATTCAAACATTAGTGACTTTCCATTTGATATAAAATTGTCATCTATCCCTAAGAATTTAGGAGACTCGACAATTCACTTATTGATTAACTATTAATCTATTTGTTGACATTTTAAGGGGAAATTATCATCGATCCTTAAGAAATTAGGAGACTCGATAATTTACCTATCTTTTGGTTATTAAAACTAATTATTGACATTTTGAAAAGAAATCATCATCGGTCCCTAAGAATTTAGGAGACTCGATAATTCGCTAATCTAATAACCACTAATCTAATTATTGACAATTCGATGAAAAATCGTCATCGATCCCTAAAAATTAAGAGACTTGACAATTCATCTACCTATTAACCACTAAACTAATTTTGAAACAAAATCACAAAATTAACTATTACCATTCCTTTTTTATTATTTTTATTTTTTGTTATTTTTTTATCGATGGAGAATCGTATCGGTCCTTAAAAATTAAGAAACTTGATAATTCATCTACCATTGGATTACCTAAACTAATTAACGACACATTTAAACTATATATATATATATATATATATATATATATATATATATATATATATATATATATTATTATTTTATTATTTTTAAAATTTTTTATTCTTATAAAGAACCGTCATTAGTCCTTAAAAAATTTAGGAGACTTGACAATTGATCTATCGTTTAGTTATCTAACCTAATTGTGAAAATAAAATTCTAAAACTAAAATTAATTAAAGTTAACTAAATAAAATTTCAAGAAAAACTAGAATTAAAATCTAAAATTAAACGAGAAATAAGCATGCACAAGTAAACATTCAAGACAAATTATCTAAAATAAAATAAATACATAAATAAATACAATATAACAAATAAAAACATTTTTTTATGTCTTGGGCCCCTTGGAACCGGCCCATCGGATCGAGCCCAAAGGGCTTGACGGTTCCGCCTTTTCCCTATGGTCGGGTTAGTCCGGTCTTTATTTTTTTTTTCTTTGGGCTGGGATAGGCCTAGCCAACGTTATTTTTGGACCTGGCTGGACTAAAACCAACCTGGACGAGTGTTTCTTCGGGCTAAAACCCACAAACAACAACCGATTTTCATTTCTACTTCTTTTTCGATCAATCACGCCTAACTATTTCTATTTTCCTTGTGCTTGTTCATCATTCATTTTTTTTCTTTCTCTCAACCGAATAACTATAAATAATTCCCAAAATCCAACTAAATCACAAAATGTTTCCATCACTTCCTATGCTAACATTCTTGCATTATTCTCTAAACAACAAAACAAGAACAAACTTTGAAGTAACTACTATGACGGTGACAATCACTTGTCTCTTAAACGAAATAAACTAAGATTTATTTATATATACATGAAACTAAAAGGACAAGGCCTAGGGGATTACCTACGGGATTTCGAGGAAATTAATGAGTTGAAATGATGTGGGATGGATGAAGGAGTTCACTCCGGCCTAAACACCTCCACTCGTCATGGTATGTATCTCTCGTTCTCCTTTGGTTTGCTCTTATTCTTTTTTTTTCGTTTACCTCTCTTCCTTTTCCTTCATCTTCTTTCTCTACCCTCCCTTTTTTCTCTCTATTTATCTTTTTTCCTTTCCTCTCATTCTCTTCCCACTACTAGATAAATGGGATTTAGAGACGAGCAAACCTTTCGCTAAATAAAAAAAATCGTTGCTAAAACGTTTTAGCAACGGTTTCACGACGGTCTAGTAACCGTCGCTAAAAACTTCATCGGTGTTTTTTAGCGACGGTTTAGATCGTTGCGAAATTAGCGACGGTCTAAAACGTTGCTATTCCATCGCTAAATGTCAATGTAAACAGTTAGGACATTAGCGACGGTTCTGTAAACCCTTGGTATGACCGTTGCTAAATAGCGACGAATTGGTAATGGTCTTGACCGTTGCTAAATAGCGACGGATTAGCAACGATCTTGACCGTTGCTAAATAGTTGGCAATGGTCAATTTGGTAACTGTTCGGACCGTTGGTAATATTTATTTTTAGCGACGGTCCGGACCGTTTCTAATACCGTCGCTAATTGAAAAAATAAATTTATTTAAAATAATAATAAAATGAGGTCAAAGTAATAATTTTAAAGTAGCAAAAATCTTGTAAAATATCGTAAACGTAAATTTTTATTATTCAAAATGTATTAAAACGTCGCTAAACAATTACATTATTGTTAAATTAAAAAAACAAGTACATCGATTGCGGTTAATACAAGAAAACATAAAATCTAAAATAAGTTAATGTCTAGGATCAATCGGAGGTCGGGTGGAGTCGTCCGGAGGTCTGGTTCGAGTCGTTGTCGGTCTCGGGAACGACGGATGAACTACCACCACGCTCAAAATGCCGCATGAACATCTGTCGCATCCGTGACATCATCGTAAACTCGCTCTCAACTATTGTTTCTCAACTCAATCGTGGTATTCAACAACGATGCCACTCGGCCTCGTAGGTCGCTCACGGTACCCTCTAAGTTG